AGACAGATACCACATTACAGAGTYCACAACTTCGAGAGGCCTTATAAGCCCAGAATTACATCAAATAGGCTATCTTAGGCAGGGGTGAATGATGGTACATCCTTCCCGTGGGAAGTAATCAATGCCGTCTTTAGCCTTCCTACCATAAAGGGGAGGAACGTGTGTGAGTACCTTTTGTAATCATTTCTGACTTGCCGGTGGAATAGGAACCGGACTGATGCTCCCCGGAATGGAAAAGGAGCCAGAACCGTAAGGTTCTGTTTATTAAAAAAAAAAAAAAAAAGGAAGGAGGAGGAGGAGGTGAAGAAGAAGTTGCTGGAAGAGAAAGAAAAAATGGAGAAGGAGATGAAGGAGAAGGAGAGAAAAATGTTGGAGGAATTGAAAGAAGAAGAAGAAAAAAAAATATATGAAGGAGAAAGGTTGGAAAGGAGAAGAACCCAGCCGCAGGAAGAAAAGGTCGAGAGTAGTCAGGCCGAGGCAATCCGTATACGACAGTTCGGGTACAGTTCGCTGAATTAGATTGAGCAGTTCGGGTACAGGACTGGGTTTCCGGAAGAGACGGGGGAGGAGAAAAATGCCTTTATAATTAAGTTGGCATCTGCAGTAGATGACATGGAGAGGAATCTACTGACGGAGGAGAAGAAGGCAAAATTGAACAATAAGATGGTGGCGGCAAAAACACAGGAATATAACGAAAAGAAAAGGATGAAAGAGGAGGGGGAGAGGTTGCAGAAGTTGTTGCAAGAACAGAAATGTAAACAGGTTGCCGTAGATGAGAGACTCTCCCTCCTAACGGATACCCTCCTCCACACCAACCAAGAACTTGCTGCACTCAACCGGACAATCAATCGAATGGAATTGCATCAAGGGGAATTCGAAGGCGTCTGTAATAATTTCCTACGCAGTGCCTCTGAACAGATTGATCATCAGATACATATGACTATGTTGATCAATTAGATACAGCCCTTGTTAAAAAGTTGTCCGATCCTGCCGTAATAAGAAAGTTGAAGGTTGGAGGCGGGGGAGGAGATGGAGGCGATGATGGAGATGATGGGGACAGGAAAGGAAAGGGTCCCAAGAAGAAGAAAGACGGAGAATCGGAGGAGTTCAGGCAAAAGATGAAAGTAAAGCTGCCTTAGACCTATACGGGGAAGAAAGAAGAAAGTATTTTCCACTAGGAGGCGGCTATGGATACATACCTGTACGCACAAAAGATTTCGTACTGGGACCGTGTGCTGATGGCAAGTTCATGCATGGCAGGGGACGCAATGAGTTTCGCTATATCTTTGATGAAAGAGGCTGGCTGCACAACCATGGTTGAGTATTCTCAACGGATGCGGATCGAAGACTTCTTCAAAGCCCTTTGAGAAAGGTTCAAAGATAAGAACCTGACCCGTAGGACTGAGTCTTTGATCCTTAACATTAGTGACTATAAACGGAAGAGTGCGTCAGCCCCCAAGGGGCAATGGATGAACTGTTGCAATGCCCGGATCACGGATTAACAACGGCACAGATCCTAAACAACTTTGCTAGAGCACTCCCAGACCCCCTGAAAACATAACTATATCCCCGCACTAAAGAAGAAGGAATGACACGCATACGAGAAGTTTAGTAAGATCGCTGTAGATCACGCCGGCTTCCTGCAAAAATGGGTCCCATCAGTTAAACAGACCTTATGGTGCAAGCCCGTTTTGCTTGCACACGATGCAATTTCCCTGCAATTTCAGTGGCCATGCTGATGCTGATGTGGCCACAAAAGGAGAGGGTGTAGGACTTTTAAGCTCCCAGGCAGGGTTGCATACCCGCTGACCGCCTACCCTGACCTCCGACCTATTGCAGCTGACCAGTAGGGCCGACTGGTCGGCGGTCTGCTGACCAGTCAGAAAACAGCCATCCACTTTTTTTTTTTTTCAAGTTTGAGTTGGGGGCAGTACTGCGCTTGCTGAGTACAGCCCAAATCCGCTGAGAAACTTTTGGGGATGAGGAGGTGGAGGGGGAGTATAGGGGGGGTATAGGGG